AGTTTGCTGTACTTTGTAGCTGCTTGGCAGTAGCTTGTAAAAGATCCATCCACTTGCAACTTGTTCAGCAAGCTTTACTGGTCAATGACAGCTTGTATGCAGCTAAGCGGAATGACTCTGCTGTCATTTATAGGTGTATATAAACACACTACATTATCTCCACCAAGTTTGTTTTGCTGAAACAGCCAGATCAACACCTGATTGTGCAGTTGTGTGCAAACAGCTCATGCCCGATTGTGCCACTGTGCACAATCGGGTATAAGTACTGTACCTACCCAATGTAGATTAGATGTCTCAAGCATGCAAAGAGCTCATGCCCGATTGTGCCACTGTGCACAATCGGGTATAATGCCTGAAGAAAGAGTTTATGCCTGATTGTGCCACTGTGCACAATCGGGTATAAGTACTGTACCTATCCAATGTAGATTAAATGTCTCAAGCATGCAAAGAGCTCATGCCCGATTGTGCCACTGTGCATAATCGGGTATATCAGTGTTAATGTTCCTGTGTTATTTATCATCCAGCTTCATTACCTTTTCTTATTTCCAAGTTGTGCATGCCATAAGGCATCCTCTAACCCAGAAAGGACCTCTGTTTAGAGGGTATAATGCTATATCCGAGATAGATGCGTAAGCGCCTGACGGCGCCTGAAGTACGACCACGTGATCGTGGTAGGAAAGCGTCTAAATCACGTGACCCAGAACAAGCGCCGACCGAGGCGCTTATCGTCCCGGCGGCTATCGGGCGCATCTGATGCGCTTGATGGCGGCGGGCGGTGATGGCGGATCATCCCGCCCCACGAACGTCGGGCCGACGTCGGTGATGCGCCTTACGGCCATCAGCGGGCGGTCCCCCGACGGTCTGGATCCACCACGTGACATGACGTCATACATACGTCATCTTTTGACCGCGCTAACCGGTCTTAGGTCGCATCAAAGTGGTCCTGCTGACCATCCCCATATAGTATGCCCGAGCCTCTTACAAGGTTAGAATGACTCCATCCGCCGATTTCGCCGAGGGCCGGCCAATCACATCGCGGATGGTCATAATGCCCATTACGCACCCGTCCGACGGCTTCGGCTTCGGCACGCGGTGTCCATGGTACTGCCCCTCCCCGGGGTCCCATGGCGCAAGGTATAAGTACTTCCTGGAATGCGCTGATGAGTGTCACCACGAAAGCCTCCGGAGTTCCTCACAGAACTCGGACCTTCGCCTTCCAGTTTCACCTCAGCAACGTCACCTCGCCTCGCTTCGCTCGGCTCGGCTCCCCCCAACCCTAAGGCGGATAGGAAATGGGCCTGAAATGAGCCTGAAATGAGCCTGAAATGGACATGGCAGCTATAGTTTCAGCAACCATAAAAGGTAAGTTGTTACATACATTTTATAAGCGCCTTAATTATACCTTCTCAAGACATTTTAAGAGTATTTCAGGACTATCATCAGTTTTTTGGTCCGTTAAATTTCCGAATCTCCGAAAGCGCTTGTTTCTGATGTCCTGAAATGTATTACAAAGCCATCAGTAATGATGGCTTTTCCGGCAATTTCCGGGACACTCATATGATCAGTACAGCCTGCCTAACTGGGATGTTTCGGGTCTATTTCAAAGCGCATGACAGACAGCCTTTTCCGACAAGAGAAATTGCCTCAAAAGTGACAGAAAAGTGAGCATTTCAGCACTCGGGAAAGTTGCTGAAAAGTCTCCCGAAATGTTACATTTCGGATGCCTTGTCTGGGACATTTCGGGCCCCCTGAAATCTGGGGATGCCCGTAGTGCTACCAGGTGACATCATTCATGATGTCATGACATGTGACTGGTCTAGAACGAGTTCTGGACTTTGTGGTTATCTTATCTACTGATCCCATCATATCTATGTGATAATCTAGGTCCCGTGATATGCATGTGACCATGTAGGTCACGTGATCGTGTTTAGCATGATAATGAGCGCTAAGAATATAATTGGCGCTTGTGTAGGGCGAATTTGTTACAGCATGCAAGGTAGATAGATAATGACGGACACAAGATGGATTTTAATGCATGTATACACTTCTCTTTTGGAGGTGACTTTGATGATGAGGTTAGAGCTGGCGGTAGAAATGCAGACTCTGACAATGAATGAACACAAAGCAGTAGTAGAACATTACACATAATACATCATGCTAATGTACCTCTTCAGAGTGGTGAACAGATACCTGGAAAGCACGTAGTGGAAAAATACTCAGAAAATGCATGCATAGAGGACTTAGCAATTTTAAAGGCAACAATATCACATGACCTATCCCAAAACTTCACTAAGTCCCGCTCCCACTGTATGTCTCCTGCAATGCA